GTTAGATCGACTCAGAAAGTGATTCTGAGTCGATCGGTATACTTTAAGGTGGGTATAGTACTAATATTTTAATGCTTTACAAACATCAGCACAAACGCATAATACCCTTCCCACTATAGTGGTGTAGGGTATAAAAACATCTTGATCTAAATTGGGACCGCAACTATTATATTAAAATATATAACCATAGAGACTTATATACATATCAATAACCTAGAGAACGTAGTTATCACATACAGATTCGCTTATAAGGTCTCAATACATTATATATTGTTGGTCCAACTCCTTGATCGACTATAAAGAAAACAGACGCTAGACACAAACTTTAACGTGAAACGATGTCCATCAGTTCGACAAAGGGTCAATACATCCGAAAAAGCAGGCATTGCTACTAACGTCTAATCACCTGGTTGCCTCTTATTAGTCTTTCGTCAGTCGGCATATTATTGTCCCCTTCGTAATAGAGAGAGGAGACAGTCTAAAGTGATACCCCAAAGTAATCCAGAGAGTAGACAGTTAAAAAAATAAACTAAAGCGACACGGTTCAATGCCATATATATAGACTCTTTTGGAAAAGCTTTCTGAATGCCTCTTTGCAATCTATGGAGTGACGATTAACGCCCTCGAAGGAGTAACACATGTTGACATAGCTAGGCACCTGACAAACAAGTGTGAAGACAGTCGTCTTATTATTGTCCCCTTCGTAACAGAGAGAGGAGACTGTCATCACTTTACTACCCCAAAGTAATCTGGAGAGTAGGCATTAAAAAAAAACAAACTTAAGCGACATGGTTCATTGCCATGTATTGACTGCTTTTGAATAACTTTCTGAATGCCTCTTTGTAATCTATAGAGTGACGATTGACGCCCTCCTAGGATAAACAGATGGGCCACCTGGTAGTAGGGTGACTAGTGGCAATTGATAAGTTAAGTAGAAAATTCAGGACTGTATCGAACACTTGGAACATCTCGAACAAAACTAAGTACTTTTTCTAGTAAAATTTTAAATATTTTACTCTATGAGTTCTAATTATTTATCTGGTGAATTTAAAAGCAAAGATTTTGTAAAGTTCTATCACTATTTAAAGAACATAAGCTCACTTTAAGTTATTTAGAAAATAAAGAAATTTCTGTCTTAAGTAAATACTTATATTTAAAATAGATTTAATACAAGTCAGCTTATTCCTTGAACATGCAAGGAAAATTTTGAAATAAATCCCTGATTGGCAACAACGAGTCTACCTACGCAAATCATTAACAATATTACCTTAATATTCTTTCCATTCATTTATTTATGTATTTCCGTTTTGCCAATATTTCAAACAACACAAAAGGGATCAATTAAAAGTGACCATTAATAGATAACTTTTTTTTATTAGGATTTTTTATATCCTTAATACAAAAAATAAAAGTGAAGAAGAAACAAAAGAAAATTATATGCATTTACGACATGTATTCTCATTTATTTAACAAACTTCTATAATAGATCACAATAAGTTTATGTTAGTCTAATAAAGAACAAACAAGCAAGCTTGTGAAAGGACCAAAAATAACTTTCATATACTTGTTTATATACAAATACTCTATACTTGTATAATTGCTTTTGTTTTATATGTTCTCGTACCAAGATTAATGGGACAAAAGCTTTTTATATATAAATCTTAGTTGCCACCAAGAACAGGACTAATAAAACAAAAGGACATTCAACACTTGATAAAGTACGAGAAACTACAAGAAAAATTATGAGGGTCTATTTATTTGCGTTATTTTGTATGTGTCTAAGAGTGTGGGAGTGTAATGTTTTGGCATTCCTTAAGGATTTATTAACTACGAAAATGTTTATATTTCTTTGGTTTTATAGTTTTTTTTTTGTTTCCATGTTGGTCATTTTTATTTTCATTGTTTTACCGTATGATAGACGGTTGACTATGCAGACTACCTAATTTTCTTGTTTGTGAGCTAATTATTGTCAAAGTAGGAAAAGTTTTTCTATAGAGTTGCCATTCCAATATTACAACACAACAAAAAGTGTCCTAGGGTCTTTTGCAACTTGGAAAACAGAAATGTTTTATAATATTTTTGGCATGTTGCATTTTAGATTCCTCTAGAACTGAACTGGAACTGGAGTAGAACTGAACTAGAACTGACCTAGAACTGAACTAGAACTGAACTAGAACTGAACAAGAACTGAACAAGAACTGAACTAGAACTGACCTAAAACTGAACTAGAACTGAACTAGAACTGAACTAGAACTGAACTAGAACTGAACTAGAACTGAACTAGAACTGAACTAGAACTGAACTAGAACTGAACTAGAACTGAACTAGAACTGAACTAGAACTGAACTAGAACTGAACTAGAACTGAACTAGAACTGAACTAGAACTGAACTAGAACTGAACTAGAACTGAACTAGAACTGAACTAGAACTGAACTAAAACTGAACTAAAACTGAACTAGAACTGAACCAGAACTGAACTAGGACTGAACTAGAACTGAACTAGAACTGAACTAGAACTGAACTAGAACTGAACTAGAACTGAACTAGAACTGAAATAGAACTGAACTAGAACTGAACTAGAACTGAACTAGAACTGAACTAGAACTGAACTAGAACTGAACTAGAACTGAACTAGAACTGAACTAGAACTGAACTAGAACTGAACTAGAACTGAACTAGAACTGAACTAGAACTGAACTAGAACTGAACTAGAACTGAACTAGAACTGAACTAGAACTGAACTAGAACTGAACTAGAACTGAACTAGAACTGAACTAGAACTGAACTAGAACTGAACTAGAACTGAACTAGAACTGAACTAGAACTGAACTAGAACTGAACTAGAACTGAACTAGAACTGAACTAGAACTGAACTAGAACTGAACTAGAACTGAACTAGAACTGAACTAGAACTGAACTAGAACTGAACTAGAACTGAACTAGAACTGAACTAGAACTGAACTAGAACTGAACTAGAACTGAACTAGAACTGAACTCGAACTGAACTAGAACTGAACTAGAACTGAACTAGAACTGAACTAGACTGAACTAGAACTGAACTAGAACTGAACTAGAACTGAACTAGAACTGAACTAGAACTGAACTAGAACTGAACTAGAACTGAACTAGAACTAGAACTGAACTAGAACTGAACTAGAACTGAACTAGAACTGAACTAGAACTGAACTAGAACTGAACTAGAACTGAACTAGAACTGACTAGAACTGAACTAGAACTGAACTAGAACTGAACTAGAACTGAACTAGAACTGAACTGTAGAACTGAACTAGAACTGAACTAGAACTGAACTAGAACTGAACTAGAACTGACTAGAACTGAACTAGAACTGAACTAGAACTGAACTAGAACTGAACTAGAACTGAACTAGAACTGAACTAGAACTGAACTAGAACTGAACTAGAACTGAACTAGAACTGAACTAGAACTGAACTTGAACTGAACTAGAACTGAACTAGAACTGAACTAGAACTGAACTAGAACTGAAACTAGAACTGAACTAGAACTGAACTAGAACTGAACTAGAACTGAACTAGAACTGAACTAGAACTGAACTAGAACTGAACTAGAACTGAACTAGAACTGAACTAGAACTGAACTAGAACTGAACTAGAACTGAACTAGAACTGAACTAGAACTGAACTAGAACTGAACTAGAACTGAACTAGAACTGAACTAGAACTGAACTAGAACTGAACTAGATCTGAACTAGCACTGAACTAGAACTGAACTGAACTAGAACTGAACTAGAACTGAACTAGAACTGAACTAGAACAGAACTAGAACTGAATTAGAAATGAACTAGATCTGAACTAGCACTGAACTAGAACTGAACTAGAACTAGAACTGAACTAGAACTGAACTAGAACTGAACTAGAACTGAACTAGAACTGAACTAGAACTGAACTAGAACTGAACTAGAACTGAACTAGAACTGAACTAGAACTGAACTAGAACTGAACTAGAACTGAACTAGAACTGAACTAGAAGTGAACTAGAACTGAACTAGTACTGAACTAGAACTGAACTAGAACTGAACTAGAACTGAACTAGAACTAGAACTAGAACTGAACTAGAACTGAACTAGAACTGAACTAGAAGTGAACTAGAACTGAACTAGAACTGAACTAGAACTGAACTAGAACTGAACTAGAACTGAACTAGAACTGAACTAGAACTGAACTAGAACTGAACTAGAACTGAACTAGAACTGAACTAGAACTGAACTAGAACTGAACTAGAACTGAACTAGAGCTGAACAAGAACTGAACTAGAACTGAACTAGATTTCTGGTTAAAGTATGTCACAAAGAGTGACATACTTTAACCAGAAAACAAAGTAACCTTGGAAATATGAAAACAAAAATTTGTAATTAAATTTCCATCATACACATCAAGTGAAAATTTAATTTTATTTTGTGTATACAAAATTTTTAAATCTTTTATAAAAATTTTAATACAAAATTTTTAAGTTAAAATTCTGTAAAATAATGCCACCAGTAATTAAAGGAAAAGATGTCTTAAGTGCCCTTAACGAGCTAAAGACTCCTTCCAATTTAAACGAAATTGTGGATCACATGTCTGCCAAGTACGAAGCCAGCAAAACAGCTTTAGCAGCAGCAGTTAAAACTATTTTAGATGCAGGTGTGCAACATGGCTACATTGAGGAATCTGAGGACAAATATCGTACCGAATATAAGCCAACTGAGGAAGCGAAAGATAATCAGATGGAAATAAATCCTGCGGAGCCGAAACGTCAAGAATCTAATGAACAAGTAGAAGCCACAAAAAATAGAGAAATTGCTGTGAAAAATAAAAAGCAATGGACGTGGAAACGTCCTTATTTATTAAATTCTAGTGAAGACGAAAATGAAGATGAGGATGATGAACTACGAGATCAAGGAGATTGTTGTGGTTCTAGATATAGAAGACGTTCACGTAGCAGGGGTAGACATGGTAAAAGTCATTCACGTCGCCGTACCAGACGTCGAAGACGGGAATAGTTTTTAAAATTTTTGTTATTGGCATCTAATTTATGTTCTTTGTGATGTTTTGAGAAGGGTATGACTAAATTATATTTTAGACATTTTAATAAATTTTCCTGTTTATTTAGTTATACTTACTTTTAATTTTAGAGATACTTCAATTCAAACTTTTATTGTTTACCACAGCTTCTCGTTTCAATGCCAAACACTTGGCAACTCTTTATTTCCTCAATTCGCTGCAGTAAATTACAACAATAAAGTAATACATCCTTAACAAGAAACACATAATTTACTTGGGACACATAAATACTTTCCATATTATTTTCTAACTATCATCATAAGTGTACTTATATTATTAGAAGCATCCCTCCTAACACTCCCACATGCACACAAACAAACTCATATGAAAACACGCCAATTTGTAATTATTACAAGGACTTACTCACACACAGTCACACATACACTCTCATACAATTTGACAAATTTCTTCTTAGGGGACACATTTAGTTAAAAGAATTTCCATTACCTTAAGAACAGGATGAGGAGGAGCAGAAGGGGGAGGTATGGCATGAGGTAATTATAAACGCCCCATAAAACAAAATAAAAGAAAAGGACCAAAAGCTTAACATCCATATACACGAGAACGTTCTCTACAAATAAAATAAAGGAAGTAAAATTGGTATTGAAATACCTTGGCCATTAATGAAAATCGATGTTTAACTACTCGTATTCTTCTTCCCAGCTTCATTTTCCTTAAACCTATTAAATGTTTAACTGTTAATGAAACTCAATATTTTATATAATTGTACGTAGATTTTTTACTGTTCTTTTCGTTGTCCTGACTAATGTCCTTTTTATGTTTTCTTTTCTCCTCTTTCTTTTCTCCATTTATTTGTTGCTTTAACAATACTTAATACTTCATTGTAATGTGTTGAGGTGTTACCTTTAATTGCCAAAAACAATGAGAAAATAACGACTGGTAGTTTTTATGTTCTACATCCTTTGTATGTCCATAGTAGATCTTTGGAGTACAAAAAAGATTTATGTCATTTTATGTAGTTCGCGTTTAACAATTGGGTGGGGGTATGTGAATTGTTAAGAGGAAAAACAGTTTGGTTTGACATTTTGGAATGGAAGAGGCGTTTTTCGTTGAGAGACATAAACAACAGAACTTTGACATTTATTGCAGTTTGCAATTTCTGTTTATTTGGTAGAGAGGAAGTTTGTTGAAATAAACAGGAATAATGGAAAATTCTTACTCGTTAATAAAACTTTTCATGCCAAAGTAATCAAAATATTTACGGAATATTTACTTTTTTCATATGAAAGTCTATTTTTGAAAATTAAACGATCTTTATTAACGATCATTGATTTTTGAAATTGAGTCTGAACGGTAATTTTACTCAAATATCTTAAGTTTATGAAGTTCGTTTGGTATTGAAATTCCATTTTGTATTAGTCAAAATCCTACTGTCAAATTGTATAAGGAACGGTCAATAACTGAAAATAACTTTAACACTCAGTAGAGCAACGAAATTTAACATAAACAAGTTTTATAGGAACTAAAATCTGTCTGTCAAATATTACGATTATCGATCTCTCATATAATGTCTCCCTGGGATTAAAAATACCAATAGAACAATAAAATTCGACATAAACAAGTATTATAGAAATTTTTTAATGGAAGGATCCATCCTATAAGGTCCCCTTCAGAAAATGACCTAAACACTGATAACTTACTTAGAAAAGCATAGACACAAATGAAATTTAACATAAACGGTTTTATTGAAATCAAAATCTTTGACAAATTTTATGAGAAAAGGTCAATAATTGACCCTCTCTACTTCATCCTTATTATGCATGTCGTTGTTATTATTTGAGGATTCTGTTTTGGAACTGTCACCTGCTGTGGTTGAATACATCTTTCCCTTACTCCGTACACTTGTGTAAAAGGTACAAAACTAATGACCGAGGCGAAGACCACGTAAATCATAAATGCATTACACATACCAATCCATATCTAAAACAAGTAAGAAAGTATAGTATAGAAAGTATAGGGCGTGGCCGACCATATGATACCCTACACCAGTTATGAATATTAAATGCAGTGTGACCAGGTCTCAAAAATGTTGCGGCTAAATCCCATTCAAAATAATGCTAGAAAAAATGCTAAATTGATTTTAAAATGCCAAAAAAAAATGCTAAAATTTTTTAAGTGTTTTTATGAACAATTCATATTAATTTGTAACTGAAATTCATTGTAATTTATAACAAGTAAGAAAGGATATTCTGCCGTGGTTGACCATATGAGTATAAAATTTGATTTATTTTTCGTAATAAAGCATTTATGTTGAAGTGAACCTTGATTCCGATATATTTAAACTAATTTTCTGAGAAAGGCTTTATACATTTGTATATGTATGGGGGCTAGGTAAAATAAAGGACGGACTTTAACCATTTTTAAAAGGTTTTGTCATTGGATCAAAAAGCATACGTGCTTATTGTTTTGAAAATTTCAACCTCTACCAGACGGTCAGACTTACATGGCTTAATCGATTCAGAAAATGATTCTTAAACGATTAGTATACTCAAACGTAGTATAGTGGAGTAGGGTAAAAAATTAAGTTCAGTGGTATTAAGATAAACAGAAATGCTAAAAATTATTTCAAAATTTTTGTAAATTTAGCAATATGTAATGTCTCTAACTTTAAAATATTTCTGAATGCAAAAATTACATTAAAACTCTATTAATTACACTAGTTGGTCATGGTATAAAACCTATATGTGTTTTCGGAAGGAAAAGTATAATATTTCTAGTTTTACTTTTTATATAAACAATTTTATTTGTCTTCCTCAAAACACTTTAAAAATGGTTTTCATGTCACAAAAATATTGAAAATTCCGTTGAAATAATTTTAAATCTCGGTGAATAGATGTCAGGTTTATAACTCATACTTCCAAGATTTTTTCGGAAAAATATATATGAGAATGTATGAAATGAATTGAGAGATATATTCAAATCCGTAAGTTTGTAATTCTGGAATAAATTGTCAATAATATTTTCGAAATTTATGTATTTTTTTTAATTAAAAAAAAAACGTGATAACAAAATTACTAAAAATTTGGTAAAAATAAAAAGAACAGGAAGTAGGATGAGAAAGTCTTAATTATATATTATTGATTTTTTCAATACTTATTTTCAATAAATTAACAAGAACTCCTGAAGGATGATAAAAATTAAAACCTCTTTATTACGTATAGGAAAAAATAAAAAATGTTAATTAACCGTCATACATAGCCTTTTCCAAAATTATATGTTTCATTCCATGAGCAAACAAAAAGTATTAGTTTGTAAAATAGCGTACTGAACGTATTTGTAAAATATATGAAATCTCTTGAATTATTTCTATCACCTCGAATTTAAAAAAGCATTGGGTTCCAGAAAAATATTTTAGAATACAACATTGTATTGGCGTAATTTTAAGTTATTTATCTTCATGAATCTTTTTGCATTATTTTGAATTACAATGTAAATTATTACATTTCTCATATTTCTTGTTGCTTGTGTTTGGGTAGACATTTAATTCTGATTTTTTCCGGTTAAACCTATTTCCAATATAAATCTTTTTTGCAAAACTTTGTCTTTTTTTGTTTATTTACTAAAATTGCAAAAAAAGCTAAAAATGCTAAACATATTTTATAAAAATGCTAAATAAAATGCCAAATGCTAAATTAAAATTTTACAGCTAAATCAAAATAAAAAATGCTAAATCTAGCTGCAAAAATGCCAAAATGGTCACACTGATTAAATGTGATTTATTTTTCATAATAAAGCATTTATCTTCAATATTCCCTTGTTCCGATACATTTAAGGAATTTATGGATGAAAAACTAATTTTCTGAAGAGGCTTTATATGGGGGCTAGGGGCAAATATGGACCAAGCCCGATAAAATTTTGTGAATATATTTATATTTACATAATATTTTATTGTGCTGAATTTCATCGCGATATTTGTGTTTATAAGTTAATTTGGGACATTCAAGTAATTTTCTGATGGGAACTTTGTATGGGAGCTCGATCTATGGGGCCCGATCTTTATGAAATTTGGCAGGGTCATCAAGACTTCTATAAAAATTAGTTGTGCCGTATTTTATCGATATATCTGTATATTTAACACAATTATGAGCTCAGAAGCCCTTTTCGGGGGGTTCTGTTCTATGGGGTTAGGTGAAATAATGGACCGATTTTAATCATTTTCAATAGGCTTCGTCCTTGGGTCAAAGAAAGAGTGTGTGCCAAATTTCATCCAATTATCTTGAAAATTGCCACCTGTACCTTGCGCACAAGGTTTACATGGACAGCCAGCCAGACGAACGGACGGACATAGCTTAATCGACTCAGAAAACGATTCTAAGCCGATTGGTATACTTTAACGAATATTTTTGTATGTTACAAACATCAGCACAAATCCAATATACCCTCCCCACTGTGGTGTAGGGTATAAAAATGGTTATGGACCCTACTTGCATTCCATAGATCATGAACTCCAGTAACGTTTGCAAGGGAATACATTAGGAATTACCTAAATGGATTTTGAAATCTAATAATTTTAGTATAGTTTACCTCTTTTTGTCATGCACTTGATCTATTGTTTTCTACGGAAATCAGGAAATCAACTTTAATTCCGTTGCTCATGATCCCAAGAAGACGACTTATGATCAACTTAATAATACTCACCGTATTCACAAAGATACTTATGGTTTTATTTTTTAATGTTATTTTGTATAGAAAATTCCTATAATTCCTATAATAAACTATCAATAACTTTATGAAACGTTTATGAATACGGTTGTAAAAGTTTTTCTCAACAAACTTTTGCTTTAACTAAATGTTGTCGCTTAACTAAAAACAACGAAATAACAAATATTAAACAGTGGCCCCCAAAGAAAACAAGATATAAAAACATCACACCCCAAAATATGTATTTATCTTAGTTCATTATAAGCTCAGCAATAATTTTTACTCTAAATACTACAACTAATATTATCGTTATAAGAACATAGTGATTAAAATAGAACATAACATGTTGAACTAGTAGTAACGTAGTAACTATCTAAATCAGTGATGGGTAAAACAA